GAAAACTCCACCCAGAAAGACCCCAGGTCCAACCGGGGATTGAACCCAGGACCTTCTTGCTGTGAGGCAACAGTGCTAACCACTGAGCTGTCGTGCTGCCAAATATTATATTATATTATTATATTATTAGTTCTAGTATTAATATTTTTATTACTGTATTGTTGATGCAAAGGCTCAGTAAAGTGTCCATCCATCCATCCACGAGTCAGAGAGGCTGAAAAGTAAAAATAAAAGGAATAAATGGCTGTAAATAGCTTCAGTTCTACAATTTATTTGTTTAAGTCTCTGCACACAAACCCAAGGGTTCTCTCTAACCAAATCCAGATGGATAAAAAAAACAAGCCCTGCACTGACTGACTTCAGTCTTCTTTAAATTTCTTAGTTTGAAAATGTAATAAAATGTCTTCGTCATTCAAACAGATTCAATCAGCACAGCTTAATTGTTTTTTCTCACAACAATTTAAAAAAAGTTTACATTTCCAGAGTTTGTACACATGTAAGCAAGGCCTGAACCTAAAGAAGCATAACTACAGGACACCTCAGGAAACCCAAGCCAACCCTATCTATAGGATTTATCCAAAAGGAAAGTCTTAAACCAAATCTTAAAAGTAGACCGATTATCAGCCTCACACACACAAACTGGGAGTTGGTTCTACGCGAGAGGAGCTCTGCCTCCGTTTCTATAATTAAAAACTCTAGGAACCACAAGTAAACCTGCAAACATGTTTGTTTATTTATTTATCTTTTTAATAATTTTGTGTTACATGGTTGTTTTGGCAGAAATATATTTCTGCCTGAAGTGTTACATTCAGGTGGAACAAGAAGTGCTAAAGCTAGCTGCTGCAGCCTTTCTTTGTGCTTTAAACACCCACAGAACAGTACCATACCATACCATACCACTTTATTTATAAAGCACTTAAAACAGCTACAAGGCCAACCAAAGTGCCGTACAGACAGAACAACAGGTAACACACAAAGCAAAATACAAAATGAGGTAAATCAGAATATAGACATAAAAAAACGATGCAGATAATGACGACAAACCAGTGTGGAGTGTACAGGATCAAAATACAGATCATCTGATGTTGAAAGCCACCGAATAGTAGTGGGTTTTTAAATGGGACTTGAAAACCGAGAGGGAGGGGGCCTGTCTGACAAGCAGAGGTAACTCGTTCCAAAGTCTTGGTCCTGCTACAGAGAAGGCCCTGTCACCTCTGCGCTTAAGATGAGTTCCTGGAACTGTGAGGAGCAATTGGTCCGCTGACCTCAGGGAACAAGGAGGGACATACGGTTGTAGCAGATCAGAGAGATGGGGGGGGCGACACTGTTCAGTTATTTGTAGACATACAGGAGTATTTTGAACTGGATTCGAAGGTGAACCGGTAACCAGTGCAGGGAGGCCAAAACTGGTGTAATGTGCTCTCTTTTGCCTGTACTGGTTAAAAATCAGGCTGCTGCATTCTGGACCAGTTGTAGTCGTGCAATGGAGGTTTGACTGATACCAAACAGGAGTGAATTGCAGTAATCAAGCCTAGATGTAATGAATGCATGTATTACTGTCTCCAGGTTATTTTTGGACAATATGGGCTTCAGTTTAGACAGCCGCCTCAGTTGGAAGAAACATGATTTAACGATCATGTTTACATGAATGTTAAGTTTCAGGGAAGGGTCCATTATCACGCCCAGATTAGTGACTCTTTGTTTTTCTGACAGGGTTAGAGCAGAAAGGTCGATGCAGTGGTTTGTGATCATGTCGTTGGGAGGGAACAACATGACTTCAGACTTCTTTTCATTGAAACTTAAGAAGTTTAAAGCCATACAGTCCCTGATGTCAGCCAGACAGTCGAGCAGAGGTTGAATAGAGCATGTGCCATTGTGTTTTAGGGGGAAGTAAATTTGACAGTCATCGGCATAGAAGTGGAAGGGCATGATGTGTTTCCGGAAAATAGCACCAAGCGGCAGCAGGTATAAAGAGAATAGGAGGGGACCCAGTATGGACCCCTGCGGAACCCCCGATTTAAGCTCTGCCTCTGAGGAACTAAAATCCTTGATGGAGACACAAAAGGATCTGTCAGCGAGGTAAGATCTGAACCAATTGAGTGCTGATCCTGTGATGCCCACCCACTGCTCCAACCTAGCAATGAGGATCTCATGGTCGATGGTGTCAAAGGCAGCTGTGAGGTCCAATAGGACAAGCAGCACAGAATCACCAGTATCTGTGGATCTGAAGATGTCATTAAAGACTTTCAGCAGGGCAGTTTCAGTGCTGTGGAGAGGTTTAAAGTTTAAAATACAGACAGTTCTGTGGCAATAATTCCATCAAGGCGCTGGACTCACCCGGAGACATCCAAGTCTCTGTGATGCAGAAAAAGTCTAACCCGTGCTCTTGAAAGTAGTCCCTGAGGATAAAAGTTTTGTTGGTAACAGATCTTGCGTTGACCAAACACATCCGGATACTGTCCAAAGTGGAGCCAGCAGCCGGGGAGGGAGCGTGCGCTAATGGCCGCAGATTTTCAATAACAGCCCCTCCAGGTCGGTCCGAGCGGTGCACCGGCTGACAACTCCCGTTGGTTACCTGGTCCGGGCACACAGGAAGCTGGCAATGGAAACCATGACCACCAGCTGGAGAGGAAGACGCAGCGCGCAGAGCTTTAAGCTTCACCAGCTGACCAGCACGTTTTCCCCGGCGTCTGAAGCGATATCTCCGGGCATGGAGGAGAGGAGTCCAGCAAAGGTAAACTGGCACGTCCGCCAGCAGGGGTGTGGGGGGGGGGGTGTTCCTAGAGGTAAGCTGATAATAGTCTAAATAAGCGAAATCAGTGACAGAAAAACGAAGATCCAAATGTTGTTGTCTGTCATACACCAGCAGAGAGTTGATGTCACAGATGTGAAATGCAAAAAACAAAAATAATCCGAACACCATCAGCAGAGGTGGATTGCAAGCCATGTACACGGGCGCCATCTTACCGGAAGTACAGTGCACAGTAAATAACCGTGGAATGGAAACTTGATGATGCTGTAAAGGTTTCTAGAATGTTTGCACAACTGCTATATACAGTTAATTATTGATTGCTAATTTGTTTTCACAGAACTCCTCATTAGAAGATCTTAAATGCAAAATTATGACAACGGTGTAAAGATTAATAAAATAGCATTAGCATGAATGGTGCTGAATACTTACTCGGTATTTGTTTAAATGTGTTTAAAGATGGCAGCCGTCCGTTTCAGGAGTGGACTTGCTCAGACAAGCCAATAGCTCATTCATTTGATCGGAATTAAACTGTATTTCTCAAAAAGAGGTAGCTCAACGAGATATCTATAACAGGTAAGACATTAATTGTTCATAAATCTTCCACAGAATCCCATATTCAAATTCAAATTCAAATTCAAAAATACTTTATTAATTCCAAAGGGAAATTATTTGTTGTAACTTGTTATCCTCATTTCATTAAGAGATGTTATGGATGCTGATGGCTGTAGACAGGAAGGATCTCTTGTAAAAGTCCATCCCACAGTGGATCCTAAGAAACTGGCTGCAGATGCCGTCCGAGCCGTCCACCCAATCTCGGCTGGCCTCTCTGTTCCCCCGGGCTGTAGGACCGCCCGAATGCCGGGGAGAACTCCTCTCAGAGCGATGGCCACTCCTCCCTGCAGCCTGCTGAGCTCCTTATTGCTGCGGACATCCATCTGTAGGTGCCAAGGGACGATCCTGTCCTTCCACTGTCATGAGCCATGTTTCCTGCTAGTTCCAGGATCTCAGTGGCCAGGCACTCAAGCACAGCTGGCAGGTAGATGAGAATGCGTCCACAGAACATCCTTTTCAACTCATTTGAGATTTGGGGCTGTAGTTGAGATATTATTTGAGCTTTTGAGATGTTAATCAGCTGCTCCTGGTTGTAGAAACTGCCTTGTTGCCATGGTTACGCATCATAACAAATGTGAACAAATATGAAGATATTTAAACCACTGATTTAAGTGTGAACAGTTTCTTCTGCCTTTCTTTCCTCACACTGCCATTTAATAAAGTTTCATTGTTGCTGAAGTGAATATTTAGCTCTGAAGGAGCAACACCAGTGAGGTGTTTACATCTGCCCTGCTTCTCACCCTGAGCGTCTTTGGTTTTTATTCACCTCATGTCTCTCTGGATGAAGTGTTGACACATCATCCCCATCATAGGTGCCATTTTAATGGTTAATGTCTAATTGCAGACAAGATTATTATTAAGGTCACCTTCCCCTGTATCATCACGTTCAACAGAAACTGTGCTCAGAAAACTCAACAAGTGCTGTTATTTCTTTCCCCCTGTCACCTTGGCAGTAATGCAAACTGTCATTTTGTGCTGAACAGTCTTCCTCGTTGATGTTATTGTTGGAAGGGAGATTATAATTTACACTCATATTTCTGGTTGAAGGTATTTACTCCACTCTACTGACCTCTTGTGGTTCCCCACCTCGTCTGACGTCACAGGTTTCCATTCTGCTTCCTTGAAGAGGTTTATGGAAGAGAAGTGATGATTTATTCAGGTTTTAAACAACTTTTGACTCACACAGGTTTGAACAAGACAAACAAGAACTTTTAACAAAATGCATTTATTGGATTCTGGTGCAGTAACTTCCCAACAAATCACACAGACCACAGCTTAAAAGTCAAAGTTTTTATTTAAAAGTACAGTTTGAGACCAAGGCTCAAAACTTGAAGTAATAAAAAAATCCATCTTTCTAGTCTAGACATAAGAAAATTTGTATAAAAACATAGAATTAGTGTTTGTTATGAGCCTCTCACAGTCATACGTCACCCTTAATGCTGCTTGTTGGTTGGAGCACCTTTGTTCAGTTTCCAGGTTGTGTTACAGTTGCAGTCAAAGTTAGCTGCCCTTTTTTTTACTGCATATCAGTGCACAAGCAAAACTTCTAGATTTTACATTTCAAACAATAAGATTTGTCGTGGGATGACAGTTGAAAATATTTACCCCTGAATTTCAACCGATCTCACAAACTGAATTAGTTGAGCGTGAATGTGTCGCCTCGTGTCACTGCTGGCTTCACGTCTAAACCCTGCGGCGGCTCTACCTTCGAGGTGCAGTTCCTGAGTCCTCCTTTCAGCTCAGACAGCTGCTGAGCATGGCTGGAGAGAGTGCCATTCACTTGAAGGAGAAGGTTGGTTGATTGTTTCTCCAGCTCCTCCCTGACCCTCTCCAAGTCTTCTGCCAAGTAATTCAAGCCTTTACACTGATCTTCCACACTTGACACACGCCCGCCAACCTCAGTTACCTCTCTTTTGACCCCCAGGGCCGTACTTCGGCATCCTCTGACCTCCTCAGTTAGCCGCCTCTTCACCTCCTGCAGCTCACCTTTAAGTCGAGTCAGTTTGCGCTCACCTGCCCCAAGCATGGAGGCCTGATGTCCAACCAGCTGGACCACGCCCTTTATTTGATGGGCCAGCCGGACCTCTCTCTCATGCCAGGAGCTGTTAGCTTCTCCCACCTGATGCACCACTGTTCCCATGGAGTCCTGCAGGTTAGTCAGGGTGTGGTTGACTGAGCGAACACTGAACTTCAGGACAGTTAGCTCTGCCTGTAGTGGAAAATGTCCAACTGCTTGTACCTGCTTCTCCCTGAGGGTCAGGTTCTTCAGGATGTTCTGCAGTGTAATGTTGAGACTATTCAAATGATCACTCTGCATGTCCAGAACCTCCTTCACCTTCTGTTCCAGTGTTTGGGTTTCACCAGGCCCAGCTGAGTCCCCTTGAGTGTTACAGTCTTGTGCCGAAGAGCAGGAAGAGGAGCAGAGAAGCTCGAGGTTGCTGACGTGTTGTTGCACTCGGTCCACGTCCAGCTCCAGCCTCCCTCGGAGAGACTCCAGCTCTGTTTCTAATGCTGGAATGGCGTGGCCCTCCAGCAGGGTGGGGGCAGTGGCATTACCAAGCTCTTCCAAAGCTGACAGGAAACGGTCCTCAAGGGCTCTTAGTTTATCCTCCATTCTGGCCTCCAAGGCCTGCCCCCCCACAATGCTATTTAAAATACCTTTCCTCCTTTCAGACTTATCACTTTTATTCTTCCCGGTCAGGTTGAGCTTGGATTCGACATATTTCAAACGTCCTTCCAGCATTCCATCTATGTGGTCCTTGTGACGACCAAGCTGCACTCTCAGGTGTCCCTGGGACTGGTTGAGGTTCGTCACTGACGTCTCCAGAAGCTCAACTCTTTCTTCCAGTCCACTCATTCGACCACAGCACTCCTCTGTGGTTGGTAAACCATGGATCAGAGCCTGGAGGGATCCCAGTTTGCTTCTCAGCTTTGTCGTGCTTTCTTCCAGTGCGTCTCTCATGTGCTCCTGCTGCTGTCGATGCTCTTTCTGGCACTGATGGCGCTCATTTCCAGCTTTCTCCTTGCATCGTTCCTCTGCACTCTGCACACGCTTCTCCAGCCCATCCAGAATTTCTACCCTGATTTCACTCAGTCTGGCATCCATCAGCTTCTCTGCAGTTCCCCCAGTTTGGGCAGTGGAGTCTGACACCACTCCTGCTCCATTAGAAATTTTCTTCAGTACTCCATCATGTCTCATCACTGTTGCTTTCAGCTCCTGCAGCTCTTTGGTTTTGGTTTGCAGCTCTGCCCTGAGCTCTTCCACTCTTCCATTTAGCACAGTGAGGCCAGAAAACACATGACTTCCATCTAAACCCTCTGTGTCAGGGTCTCCTCCAGGAATTTCAACAAACCCTACAGTAAATGGGTTTGATGCTGTAGCTGGAGCAGTAATGGGACCAGGAGCAGCAGAAAGAAGCGCTGATAGCATCCTGCTGGCATCCTCTCTTAGTGAGGCTCTGAGGCTATCCTCCAGTCCTGTCACAGTTCCCCTCAGGGTGTCCAGACCCTGACTTAAACGGTGCATGTCCTCTTCCATCCGGAATATCCTCTCTTGTGTTTCACCATTGAGAAGTTGGCCTGATGATAGATAAACAAAGTTTTTAAATGTGAGATACAATAGATACAAAACAGCAGAGTTAAAGGTTAAAACGTTAAGAATTGGTTGTTCAAAGTTCATTGTTCATTTGGTGGCAAAATTGTGGGTTATGCCCACTTAATAAAACAACTCATCAGGGCTACTAAAGATGTTAGAGCTACCTGTGTTCTCCCCCTCTGGAGGAGGAGGAGCAAGGATCTCCTCTGGAATTATTTCCTCAGGGTCCTGGTTGTGCTCATGTTCATGTTCTTGGTTGATAACTGGGAGAAGTGGGTCTTGGTGCTCTGGCACCGACTCGGGTTCAGTTGGATAATTCTCAAAGGATGTCTCGGGGTATGAGAAGAACCTTGGTAGCCCAAAGTGAGGCACTGGGTAAGAGTTTAAACTGTTGGTAGGTCCCTTTGGTTGCCTCCACTGGTTGGCTTTCACAGGAGAATTAACAGATGGACCCTTAAACATTGGACCGTGATGCTGCGGCCCCTCAAACTGTGGACCTTTCATCGGTGGAGCCTTGAATGGTGGCATCATTCTCATGAGATGCTGGTACATTGGACGCTGCTCCATACAGTCATAGCCAGAATAACCAGGACAACAACGCCACTCCAGCTCTGTGACCGTTTTCTGATCCACTTTGTAAACTGGTTTGTACAGCAACCGATACCTGCGGAGAACATCCAGTTATTAGACACATCCGAAATGTCTGACTGAGGGACATGGCATTCATAATGAAATATGCTATCTGCTCACACAAGAGATGGACACTTGCTGCTCCAGGAACACTTGTTGTACTCAGCTTTTACAAACGGAGCCGCCCCGTCCTGCACAGTGAAGGACACTGTCCTTTCTGTGACGTAGGCACAGTGGTTCCTGAAGAAGAGTGAAAACAAAAGAATGAAGTCTGCTCACAATAAAAATCCCTTTTTTCTATTCGTTTTATCTGATGCAGAGTAATCTAACAGAGAACCAACACTTACTGGTGCCTGCTGGTGGGCTTTCTTTGCTCGGGTTGTGCACCAAGTCCAGTTTGATACTGATGGAATGGACTGTAGTGTTTGGCTTCAACCGTTGACAGGAACAAACTCAGAGCAATGATCAAATCCATCCTTGGATATTCACATGGAATTAAAAAAAGCAAAAGTAGTCTTCAGTTTAAAAATAAAATATTGCTCTTTTACTGTAGAAAGTATTCCTTTAGCGCGAGCGGTGAACGAACGTTTGTATCAAACTTACTTTTTAAGCTGCCACTTAATTTAAAAAATAAAATAAAAAACTATAAACTCAGACAAATACTTTTCTACAAAACATGCATTAAAAAACGTTTTGTGTGCTGTTCAGGGCAGTGCTGTCAGCAGACTGCCAGGCTGTGACTGAGAGGTGGACTCTGTTCGACTGACAGGAGTCCGCTGTGAGCTTAAAGGTCGTCAAAATCCACTGAAGGGTCCAGCTGGCACCATCTGCATATCTCCTCCCACCCAGTTTCCTCAAAGTTACATGAGAGTGACACTGGGTGCGGGGGAGAACCCTCACATTGAAACCTGTGGGGTTTAATAGAAAATATCATTTTTTTCACACAGCTAGTCTGAACTTCCACCAACCCTGGTGACGTCACGACAAACCAAAACAACCGGCCCTACAGAGCAGCCTCCTGTGTTAAAGTGAAAAATGTAGGTTCACAAGAAACGGTTTGTTGTTTGGCTTGTCAGAAAACTTGTGGTGTTCATGAATGTTTCTGAATCCACAGCTGGAAACAAAAGTAGCTCGACAGGAGCATTAATGAATCTGGTTCAGTTTGATGCATGTCCTGCTGACGGGTTCTGTTTTAAGAACAGCGTAATAACCCTTTGTCCCATTTACAGCATTCTCTAACTCCATCTCCAGCCCCGTCAGTGCAGAACGTTCCTTTTTCTGATGATGGAATAATGCTGAATCTGTGGGAAATAATTCTGTACTTTTGACATATTTCACAACTGAGTGTTCTCAGGGTCAATGGAACAATGTAAACTTAGTCTAACAAGTAAAATATATACGTTCTCTTTATTTAAATGCATAGCATTATGTTACTGTGTGATTTAACCATTTAAATCAGAAACAAGTTGCATCATCTTTGAAACGTGTAAACTGTTAACATTTAGGAGTTAAAGTGAGTAGGTCTAATTTACTAAAAACAACAATTACATGAGGTTTAACCTTTGTAACAGGTATTTTATGCATTAAATGTCCAGACGCTGATAAATCCTTGTTTTTTCATGGAGAAAAGATAAACCTCGTAGAGTTTAAAGGCCTTTTTGAGCAACCATTTGAGTCAGACTGGTTAAAGTTTGAGTTTTAAACGTTGTTTCAGTGTCGTTCAGCAGAAGGTGTCACGTTATATTGTATAAAATCTGTACTGGAAGTCACATTGATCGATTGGTTTAGCTGTGAGGACATTGTTGGGCTCTTGTGAAGACTGAGGGGAGGTCTGTGAAAGCTCTTTTTAACTTCACACCCCCTCACAGTTTCGAGCCCAGCTTCACAGCAAACCTCCAAAGAAACAGGAGCAAACACAAACAAATCGTGCTGAAGACCGTGGCTGTACACACCCATGGAGGAGTGACCCACACGTTCATTCACAACACCGGTCTTTGTGCTGCTTGTGCTCACATCACCGCCTCGTTCTTCACAAAGAGCTGCCTGAAGGCCGCTCAGACTCCACGTCACACCCACTTTTCAACTACTGAACAAGTCTCAAACATTATGGAATATTATTTGCACAAATATTAACTCCAATGAAGCAAGCTTTTCTCTTATTTACATGTAATCTCGTTGTTTGAACATCACTTCAGTCAGATTAAGGAGCAGTGTCAGAATAAACCAATTAATTTCTGAATATTTAAAGACTGAATAATGTTGAAACTATAAATGACAGCTAGAGAAGAGCTGCTGTGGAGAGCAGGAACAAGAGAGCAGCGAGAGGAGTCGACAGCTGTAAAACAGCTGATGTCCTCGTGGCTGAGGGGTTTGAACGGTGAGTGTTTGTTGTTTTCAACATGAGTGTTTTTCTGGTCTGGAACTGAACAGAGAATGAAAGTAAACCTAAATGTTTTTGATACAAGATATCCAAGTGGGCAGGGGTTACACTGTGGAGAACAGAGGGAAGTGTTTTTATACTGTCAGGCAGCAGAGTTTCCTGGCGAGCATAAGGAGAAATGTTGTCCACCCCCAGGTGCAGTGGTGGAGCCAGGGGGTGACCGGTGGTGGCCTTGGACACCTTATATTACTCTTTGGCCACCACAATCTTTAGATGAAACTACACCAGCATAAAAACTATACAGCACAGTTTCCTCAGATGACTGGGCTGGTTGATTTAGAAATACAGTATGGTGGCAGCCATCTTGGATTTTGACTTGGAAACCCAAGTTCAAGTTGTGTTTATTTGTCTTATGCAAGGTTAACAACAGTACAATGAAATGCTCAGGATGAGAAGAACCAATTTGACTCGCTAAAAACAAAAACAACAAAAAAAAAAGAACAAACAAACATGCAATAAGGGTACAAAAATAGAGTACCAAAAAGTGAAAAAAGTAATTATAATATTTACAATGTCCTAAAGAGAGATAGTAAACAACAACATGGTAGAATATAACGGTGCAAGCAGAATGAATTTGAATGAATAAATATTTCAAGGTAGTAATACAGTATAAGCTAAAATGCAAATGATATTTGTATATTACACACAACTAACATATACTACACAGGTCGTGAGTGACACTGAGATGAATTATGATAGTAATTATGGTAATTATAACCCCGTTTTCTAAAGGAACCTTTATTATGCCACAGCCATATTATTCACCTGACAAACCCCTGAGAACACTTACTTTGGAAAGATGTAAAAACTACAAAACAATTTTTCGCAGGTTCTGCATTATTCAGCTTTCCTGCAGAATGATGGTTCTGCACTGGCAGCTTATGGTTTGTAGCGCTGGAGATGGATGCTGGGAATGATGGAAATGGTACAAAGGGCTATTACATTTCTCACAAGCTCACAAGGTTTACACATTCAGGACCTGGTGGCCATTTTGGATTTTAGCATGGCAATCCAATTTTTGAAAGGAGCTTTCTTATGTCAAGATGCAGCCACACATCCGAACGGAAGCTGGTGCCTCTCTTATTTTTCAAGTTTTCACCACCTTCATGGGCAGATGGGGGGTATCTCCAACTCCCTCTTTTTGCTCTGCGACGGAGGACAACAAACGCATCCTAAAACATCCATGAAACCATTAATGCAGTTCCACGAGTCAAAATAAATGAATAACACCAAACCTAGAGACTCAGTAAACTCAAGAATCCTGACAGCTTCTGCCACTGATTATTCTGTGAGTCTGAAAAACAACATTTATTCCATTGTTTATTTTAAAGACAGTGATCGTCTGAAAACAAGGAAAATTTTTAAAAACAGATCATCGGAGAGACATGACAGATATGATGAAAGGAACGTTGTTTGAAGCAACGCCTCGCATGTCAAAGTTTAATACAAACGTAATGAGTCCGGGCTCAGAGTCCGTGTTGCAGATGACTTTCAGTGACTACCACATGTCAGCTCTGTTTCTGTGAAAGGGACCGAAGCCTGTTTTGTGTTTGAAGTTTATTTTAATAGAGTTTATTTATGTTTGTTTAAAGCCACTCAAATTAATTTTTAAAACATATTTTCATTATAATCAAAGCCATGTGACTTTGTTTCTCACACATTTAAATATTTATAGACCTGAAGAAAATAAAAGAAGCTTCAAAGAAACTTCACACAATATTAACTAAATATTTTTAGCTCCCACTGTTACTTTCTTCTGACTTTGATCTCATTTCATGATAAAATAGGTCAAATGTTGTTAAATAAATATCGTTATAGATCACAGATGGTTAAAACTTGAAACGTGTTATTTAATGGAATGTAGGAGCGTTCCTACGTTTTGGTGCTAAAGCTCGAGTGAACGGTGAATAAAAACAGGACGTCTCCATCGGCTCTTTGGTTTCTCATGTCTCAGTTTTCATCTCTTTCATCCAATATTTATTTATTTTTCTCCTTTTGATTCTTTACTCTGGTCCTCATCACTTCTCCTTGTGGATTTTTAAAATCTTCTAGATTCTCAGTTTCTTCCAGCGTCTGGCTCCTGTCCAGTTTTTATTCATCTGAAAAAACTAAAACCCTTTAAAACTTGAGATGGTTTCAATGGTCTGTTTTATTTTTGGTTTATTCTCTAAGCTAGCCAAACTGTGTCTTTCAAGAGATGAAGGGATTTGATTCTCTTGGGGAGGGCTATTCAACTGGTGGCCCAGGGGCCAAATCAGGCCCACGGGTGAGCTCAGTTCAGCCCACCAGTGGGTTCATTTTTAAATAAAACTAGATTTTAAACCATAAAACAAACTTACTTGACAATAACTGCTGGATGTCTGGCCCCTGAGCTCTTGGCTTTCAGTAACTGTGGCCCCCTGAGCAGTTTGGCTGAATAGTCCTGCTCTAGGGTTTTCAGCTCTTTGCAGGTTCCTGAGTTCCACATGGCACCGATGAGCGGCAGCTGGAGATCATCTCATTAACGAGCACCAGGGGTGTGAGCAGGGCTTAATTTGAGCTGGATCCTGTCGGAACAAGTTCCAGGAACTCTTATTTTGACAGTGTGTGTTCTGGTAACTGTTTTCTTGGATCCAGTAACTCTCAGGCCTAATAATAATAAATTTATGAACAAAATTGACTGCCTTGAATGAATAAAACCTATATTGGATATGTAAACTGAAAATAATTACATAAAAGCTAATTTTGAGCTTCCTATCACATTAGAGTTGTCGCTTCACATTTCTACTTATACTCTTAAAACAGTCTCTGCCTCTAAAAGTTCAAAGTCATGGGCAATTTGATTAAAAACACAAAAATATTTAAACATTTTGCACTACGCATAAGTTCCTGCACTTTTGTGAACAATCTGATGTGTGAATCACTGCAGGAGTTACTTGAACTGCATAAAAGAGACGATGATCTCGGCTCATACAGCTCTTTGTCTGCAGAGTGTTTGACGTGATGTCAGCGCGACCAGGACACTTTTCTGAACTGAGCAGGAGGATTGAGAGCAA